AATTACAATTCTATCAGGTGCGCCGTTAACACAAGAACAATGGGAAAAATGTAAAGATCGAGAAGGAAGAATCACTGATCCTGAGGCCGTCAAAGAAATTATTTTTCGGGGGGTATGTATCTAAATATTTTTCCAGCAATAATATTAGTATTCTTTATATAATGTATAATGTAGTTTTTGAATATATTTGTGATAATTTATTAGGGTATTTGTCCATCATTACGTTTTGAAGTATGGAAATTTTTATTAAATTATTACCCATGGAAATCAACGCATAACGAAAGATTAGAACTTAAGAGGAAAAAGACTGACGAATATTTTACGATGAAATTGCAATGGCGTACATTTACGACTGCGCAAGAAAGCCGATTTTCTGATTATAGAGAACGAAAAAGTTTGATAGGTAATTAAAACAACAAAATTGTTAGTTTTGTAAAAATATATAACTGTTCTTTTGTTATTTTTGTAAGAGTACATAACTTATTTCTAATTTTTATGTTGAATGAAAATCAAATTTTTTAATGTCATTTCCAGAAAAGGATGTTAACAGGACAGACAGAACACATTCTTACTATGCAGGGGATAATAATCCACACTTGGAACAATTATACGATATACTCATGACCTACGTAATGTACAATTTCGATTTAGGATATGTTCAGGGTATGAGCGATCTTCTTAGTCCAATTTTATTTTTAATGGATAATGAAGTAGACGCGTTTTGGTGTTTCGTTGGATTTATGGATAAAGTAGTAAGTATGATGGTCTCTGCGTAATATATAATAATTATATTAATACCTATAAGTAACCTTTTTTTCTTTTAAAATAGAGTACTAATTTCGAGATGGATCAAAAAGGCATGAAAGGCCAATTGTGCCAATTACACACGTTATTGTGCACTACGGAACCGCAATTAGCATATTATCTGAATAGACATGATTCTGGTAATATGTTCTTTTGTTTTCGATGGTTGTTAGTATTATTCAAGCGAGAATTTAGTGCGATCGATATATTAAAGTTATGGGAGATATTATGGACCGATCTACCCTGTAAAAACTTTCATTTGTTAGTATGCGCGGCTATTTTGGACACAGAGAAAAATATTTTAATAGAAAACAATTACGGATTTACGGAAATTTTGAAGGTAAAACATTTTCCTGGTATAACAGCAACATAAATTTATCCGCATCTGACATATTTATTATTGTCTACAGCACATAAACGATTTGTCACTTCATATCGAGTTGCCTTGGACAATTTCTAAGGCAGAAGGTATTTACTATCAGCTGATGTCCGTGGAACATCAGATTCCTGATGACATACGTGTAATTATCGGACTGGAGCCATTGCATAAATCGTCGCCGACGAATGGAAGCGATGATGAAGCATCTAATAATGCCCGAGCCAATGGTCCTCCTAATAATTCGAGACGAAATAGCACAGGTAGCGCCAATGTTAAATTAGG